TTATTAACAAATTCTCTTTTTTAAATTGTTATAAATTTATATTTTTAATGTTTTTTTCTGTCAATATTTATTTCATATCGTTATTTATTTATTATATGTATAATAAGAAAGTAAATTTATAAGGTAAAAATTAAAGATTTATACATAAAGATAAAATGAAAAATACAATAGATATGAGAAATTAAATAAGAGCATTTTAGAATTTTTAGATAGATATAGAATGAAAAAGAACAAATTCATAAAAATGGAGAGTAAAAAAGGACAAATTAAAGGGAGTAAATAAGAATTTAAAATTAAATATAAGGAGTTTAGTGGAAGTTGTCCATATTTATATATTATCCATTATGCATGAATCAAATTCCTTGGTAATAAAACATCACAATTCATGGTAATTATACAATTGACTTAAGGATTAAATATCATTCTTCTAAAAGTCATTGTTTTTTTATTTATTTTTATTTTTCTTTACTCTTATCTAGTTTGTTTTGCACGAATACGAGCATAAATAATTTACACGTACATTTATTTCATATCAAATTTTAAAATAATATATTTTCTTTTAGAAGCACACAATACTCTCAAAACATTTGAAATTGCTAATGTCGATGATGTGTGCGGAACTAATGTTCAAACAACTTTTGGAATTAATCATCCTATATATATATAGAATATGTGAAACAAGTGTGCAATTGTACAAATATAATGTTCGTGAGTATGGCTTCCGTGGAGGCAAATTCATTATTGATTTGACTCGATTAGGATATATAATAAAGGTAAAAATATATATATTATAAACAATATTGTATATTTATACATAACATATGTTTTACAATTTTTACTATGTAGAAGTATGTGTCGTATATCTTTATTATATATGTTGATTGAGTCAAATCAGACTAAAAAAGCAAAGGATTCACATTCAATCTATATCCATGTCATTTGTAGGTTTTGTATCTAATTTTCTTATTTAATGTTTTTTTTTTAAGTTTATTTTTCAATTAAACATAAGTGGTCACATGTTATTGTTAAGGTTATTCTTTAGATCGTTTCAATTGATCTGTCATTTTACACATTATTGCAATTTAATTGTTTATCTATGTAGTGTGAAATAAATTTCATACAGGTTGTTTGCTAAATCAAATTTATGCTTGTGATTATTATATATATTTCAAATAATTGCTATGGGTGTGTTTGTTTGTGGGTTTAGGTTTTTTGTTTGGATTTTTGAATAGTAAAAAATTATATTTAAATTGTTTAATGTGATATAAATAAAAATTGATATGATGTTTTGAATGTAAAATATATTTATAGTATAATATAAAAAAATAAAAATAATTGTTTAATGTGATAGTTTCGGAGGGAAAGAAGAATTTGGATAGTAAAAAGCTGTGGTAAAATCTACAAAAGAACATAATCTATGTATTTTTAAAACTGAAGAGATTATATGGTTGGTAAATTAAAGTGTATAGTTGGTAGGCAATTAATTAATGAGTACAGTTAGTAAATAAATTGGTGAATTAAAGTATGTTTGGCAAGAACAAGACAGCATTAGGTGAATTAAATATTTTTTTTGAAAAACTAAATAAATTAGTCATGATTGTCATAGAAGGAGATTTGTAATTTTGTGAAAAAAGATGAAAATATTATATATAAGAAAAAAAAAATGCTAGTATTGGAGCGTAAGAGAAATTGTTACAATGAGATGTATACTATTAGCAACAATGTTGTGAAGACGATACATACAAATTTGTCATATACAGATTAATTTTTTATTTAATATATATTTTATAAGTTTATATTTCAGTTGAATACAAGCAAATATCTTTAAAATTGATAAATAAAAAATTATTTAATCAAGTGTTTAAAAAGTAATGTATCTTTAGATAATATTGCTATAAACTTGATATACATATACGGAAGTATATAACAATGTTGTATTGACAATGACAATATTTTAAAACAATCATACTTTTCTGTTTTTTTTAATTACAAATTTGTATTCATAAATATAAAATATCATGTAAGTTTTAATTTGTAACTTTTATTTAAAGTAATATTAAAATTTTGAAAATTACATTACTTTATGCAGGAATAAATATATCATAAAAAAAAAAGAAGTTCAAGAGACACAAAAGTGTGGTCTGTGAAGGATCCAACTGGACCAATCTAGGCCGATCTAAACCACATTAGATTTAGTCGGGAGGCTCAAAACAAAATAGTTTTCTACTATGTTTGCACACAGACTTTTGAAATTTTAGCACTTTGAAAATAATAATAAGTTAGTATTTTTTTAAGAAAATTGAATATTTGATTTGATATTTTGTGAGAGAAAAAATATATTTAATGTGATGTTTTGAAAAATTGAATAGTACCAAAGTCTCCAAAATTGTAGTGTAAACAACTTTGTATACAATATGCTTAGAGGTTATATGTGATGCAATTCTTATGACATTTTGAGTAGAAGTTCTAAAGTTTTGATCTGTTGCAATTATATGTATATACATATGATAAGCCTATATTATATATTTCATTCATCCGCCTCTGCCTTTGAGGGTTACATTTACTTTTGCATCATTGTACTTAACATTAAAAATATCCTTGTATTTGTATAATTTTTTTTTTACAAATGTTCTTATAATAGTATTATAAGACATCAATTGAAGTATTTTTACAAAAAAAAAAAAATTAATTTGTACTATATTTTAATATAATGATTAATATTCAAATTCAACACGTTAAAAATAAATGAGATTCTTATAATCGAACGAAAATAGTATTTAATAATCACAGTTGATGAATATGTGTATGTACAACATACTTGATATAATTAAATAGCACACAATGAATATAAAAACAACACACTCTATATATAATATTTTATTATTGTTCTAAATTATGTAATATTATTTCAATTAAAACTTTCAATAGACTGACAACCCAATTTGTAATTATTTGCTTAGTAATTACAAACATTATATTGCATGTATTTAAAATTATTAACTTAACATTATTAAAAACTTAATTATTCAATTGTATACAAATCTAATTAAACAATTAAGAAATGAGATAATATAAAAAAAAAAAAATTTCAAAGAGAGTGGGGGTTAGGGATCTTCTCATATGGAATAACATAATTCCTGCTAAATTTAATATTGATAAGTATTGCAAATATGTACAAATAATGAAAAAAAATTAAAAAAAAAATGACATAGTAACAAGATCAAACAATAATTACATTCACCTCTAAAATGTATGTTATGTACACAAATATAAATATTTTATTATTTGGAACGGTGGCATTGTAGTAAAAAAAATTAGGCAAATATATATACATATGTATATATAAATACAGAAAGATAAATGCAGGAAAAAATATTTGAGTTTTTAAAACAAATAAAATATTTTATTTATAGAAATCTCTTCATTTCCAGCTCCTTAGCAAGTCCAACTTTTGCAGCCTCCATCATCATCGCAATAGTATTAATAAAAATTCCACTTTCTTTTTGGCATTTTTCCTTAATCCAACAAATTTACTTGTAATATATTATCTTTTATTTTCAATTGTATCAACTTCAAGAACAAGCGGTCAGATGTGAAGCACATATGATCTTTGCGAACGATCATTTCAATAAAGTAATATATTTTTCAGTCATGTTGGCTCAAATTAAATTTTTGTTGTCAACTTTATGATTCTTTACACCATCTCCAATCCATCAACTCTATTTATTTAATTTTAACTCTAAACATGCAGTTGCTACAGTAATATTACTTCAACCATAATTTCATTTTTCACTATTATTTTTTAAATATTTAATTTTTATACTATTTTAAACAATTTTTTTTTAAAAAAAAATTAGAAAAAATAAATTTAAAAATTAATAAAAGAAAAAGAAAAAATGGAGCAAAGCCATCTTTTGGATTGTTACACTGCAACACCAAAAATTGGGCGTTGCAGTATAGCAAAGCCAAAAAATGGAGCACGATTTGACGTCGGTTAGACATTGTTTTGTGTATTTGCTATTTTAGGTGAACATACCAGCAATTGTAATAGACATTGTAATTATTATTTACAAAACAAAATTTTCAATATTGGTTATTATAATTATTAATTTTCAAGACTAGTTATGACAAAAATGAAAACAAAAATAATAATAAATGAGAAATCACATTTTTAAATTTATAATTTATTTACTTTTTCATACTATTTTAAAATATAATTAATTTACTCTTCTCTCCTGTTTATTTATTTATTTTTAAATTTTTTAGTTTTTACCTATTTTGACTTTTTGTGATTATTAAATAAATAAATAAATTGGCCCATCGTATAGGCCAGCCCATTGGCCTAACCGAAATTTTCGTTAATTTGTTGCTTCATGGCAAAAACATAAATAAATAAATAGAAAGAAGAAATGCGTGTTTGTTTGGTTGTAGTTTAAAATTAAGTATTTAATTTAAGTCGTGGGTTTGTTTAGTTTAAAATTTTGTTCAGAAAAGAAAATAATACTACATTTATTTATTGCAAAATGTGATTGAATTTGAAATAGTAAAATAGCAAAGTCATTAGTTCAAGATTTCTTGTGAATAGAATTGAAAAGAATACTGCAATATTCGATTTAATTTGTAAAATTATTAGATTATTCAATTCAATATTCGATCATTTTGAATTGTAAATAATATATGTATTCAATTCAAAATTTCAAATTATTCAATTTGATTAAAATTTTTAAAGTAAAAATTTAACAATATCATTTAAATATTAGACTCAAAATTTGATTTGATTTTTCTTATTCCATTTGAAGATATTGAAGGGATTGATTTATTTTTAATTTAAATCATGTCAAAAAATTTAAATCGAAACAAAAATAATTAGTACCAAAATAATTTTTCAAGGTCACTTCGGTGCGGACATTTGGCGTGGTCTGAATTAATTTCATAGTGGATAATAATAATAATAATATAAAAAATAAATAAATAAATAAAATTAAGAAGATAGAGGGAGGATATGGATGTCACAAAAGGAGCTGCTCTGCCATTGACGACAGTCCACACGCTCACTACCTTCTCGTTTCAACCGACAGCGACAGCCTCATCCTGCGGGGAAACGGTAAATGCTTTCCGATGCAAGTAAGTGGCAGCAATTCAATTTTTTCTTCTAGATTTCTTGAGAAATTTTGAGATTCTATCTCGTAATGAACAAATTGCTGTGAGGGTGTGGTTGTGTGTATTGGAGAAATTCCTTCGCACAAGTGTTGTTATCTTGCTAAAAATCAAATCAATGGACACGATTCTCGGGACTCACACCAAGCTTGAGTTTCTGCATCGAATTCATGGATTTGCTGATAAATTTAGTGGTTTCAGCGGTTTCAAGCCTCATAGTGTTGAGAGGAAGTCTGTTTCCAAGCTTAAATTGAGCAGAGGCTGTTGCGCCATGGCAAGTTCCAGTGCGCTGTTGGAGCTCGTGCCTGAAACCAAAAAGGAGAATCTCGAATTCGAGCTTCCTTTATACGACCCTTTGAAAAGCCTTGTGGTGGATTTGGCGGTTGTTGGTGGGGGTCCGGCGGGGCTTGCGGTGGCGCAGCAGGTATCTGAGGCAGGGCTCTCTGTTTGCTCCATTGATCCTTCTCCAAAGTTGATTTGGCCAAACAACTATGGCGTTTGGGTGGATGAATTTGAAGCTATGGATTTGCTGGATTGTCTGGACACAACGTGGTCCGGTGCTGAGGTGTTTATTGATGAGAGAACGACTAAAGATCTGGATAGGCCATACGGAAGGGTTAACAGGAAGCAGCTGAAATCAAAGATGATGCAGAAATGCATCTTGAATGGGGTTAAGTTTCATCAAGCTAAGGTAGTGAGAGTGGTCCATGAGGAGTCCAAATCCCTGTTGATTTGCAATGATGGTGTCGCCATTCGGGCAGCAGTAGTTCTCGATGCTACAGGATTCTCCCGCTGTCTTGTACAATATGATAAGCCGTATAATCCCGGCTACCAAGTTGCCTACGGAATTTTAGCAGAAGTTGAGGAGCATCCCTTCAATGTAAATAAGATGGTTTTCATGGATTGGAGAGACTCACATCTTAACAACAGTAAGGAATTGAAGGAGCGGAATAGGCAAATCCCGACTTTTCTTTATGCAATGCCGTTTTCTAAACAAAGAATTTTCCTAGAAGAGACTTCCCTTGTGGCCCGTCCTGGGGTGTCGATAAAGGATATTCAAGAAAGGATGGTTGCTCGACTGAACCACTTAGGCATAAAAGTAAAGAGCATCGAAGAGGACGAACACTGTGTGATTCCAATGGGAGGCCCATTGCCAGTGCTGCCTCAAAGAGTTGTCGGAATTGGTGGCACTGCAGGAATGGTGCATCCTTCGACTGGATACATGGTTGCAAGAACTTTGGCTGCTGCGCCGATTGTTGCTAATGCTATTGTCAGGCACCTAGGTTCTGATGCAGGCACTCAGGGAGACGACTTATCCTCAGAAGTTTGGAAAGACTTATGGCCTATAGAAAGGAGACGCCAAAGGGAATTCTTTTGTTTTGGGATGGACATTCTACTTAAGCTTGATTTACCGGCCACAAGAAGATTCTTTGATGCATTCTTTGACTTGGAGCCGAGGTACTGGCATGGATTCTTGTCGTCTCGGCTTTTTCTTCCGGAGCTCGTGCTTTTTGGGCTCTCCTTGTTTGCTCATGCCTCGAATACTTCTAGGTTAGAAATTATGGCTAAGGGTACGGTTCCTTTGGTAAACATGGTGAACAACTTGGTAACTGATAGAGATTGAATATATTTGGCTTATGTTTCTGTTTCTGCTTTCTAAGCTTCCGTAGAAATTGTGTATATTTCTGTTGACATTCGAAGCACATTCTGTATTTATTAATGTCCCAGCTTTTCTTGACAGCATGAGTTATATTTCTATTCATAAGATCATTCAATCTTATCTCAATAAGGTGCTGCTTCATTATGTGGACGCGATGTGTTGTTGTTATGATATTTGAAAATATTGAACCAGTTTTCATCTTAGAAATGAGCATTTTTGTTATCTGAATATTTATGGATGAATCTCAACAAGGTAGACAGCAATTACCATGGATGCTGGCTAGGTTTGAACTTCTTTTAATGCTGACTGTTATATGCTTTTAATGCTTTGAGAAATGAATCAATTTGCATTTCCAAAGATCTTCAGACTATCTTAATTATGGATATCTGGATTTGAACATGTATTAAGGTATAATGTTGTTTATAAGTGATATCTAGGGTGGGGACAGTGTGTTTCCTTTCGTTATTCTTTTAAAATTCTAGCTGTGCGCTAGAATTTCATCAAAAAACCCATGATCTATTGATTTTTGTCCATCGGAGAGATTAATGAAGGAGGCCTGGAGCAAGCTCTTGCCAATGCCATCACCTGCACAAGTTTAGCTGCTGCAGGTCCTCAGCATTTTCGTCTTCTTGCCGCCCTGTACAAGGTATTTGCAGCTCATTTACCTTTTCCCTGCCTTGGTTGTATTAGCATGAATTTTCCAGTAGACTATGAAATTTCTACTGTAACATTCTTAATCTTGTCGAACTTTTAATGCCTCTCTAGGAGATGCATGCTACACAAACCATCCCTTAATTTCTTATATCTGTAGCATAGGTTGGTCTCTTCTATGGAGTGGTTGAATCTTTGTGACCCAAATATACAAGTAAGCATAGAGCTTTTTCCCTGTAAAGTTACCCGTGATTATGTGCCTTATAACTAATAGTAATTGGAATTAAATTTATCAGGATTGGTGTCAATTTGCTTACTGCTTCAAAATACTCTTTGATAACTTTTTATGTTTTGAAATTTTACACATTCTTGCTGTCAGTTCTTTGGAGGATTCATGATTTCCTTTGTTGTGTGCCTTCTTTGTCTTTATAAGGAGAGAAGTTTTGTAGAGTATGTTATTATCTTTCTTACAACTAGCAGTAACTAGATATAAAATTTAGCATCGCAAGTAGTGGTGATTGAGGTTAACTATGGATAAGTGGACAGATAATCTGGTTGGCATAGATTCATAGTGTAACTTTGGTTGTAGGAAGTTCCAAACACACTGAAGTGAGGATCTGCCAATAAGTAAATAAACAACATGAAAACAAGCAGCAAACACCATCAAGAAAGAAACAGCTACTCTGCATTACATCACTGGTGCAGAATTGTAGTAATGGTATGCTGCAGCCTGAAAAATGGGAGTTTAGACAAGGGATTTCATTACAATAATAATAATAGCTTGAGGGCTCAGTAAAGGAAATCATGCATGAGCTATCTTTTCAAGAAAATAGTGTCTTGTTATAAATGTAGCCATTAACTCATTGAGTTCAAGGATTGACATGAAAGGTTTGTACTAATAATAAAAGACACTTTATGATTCATTACAATAATAAAATAGGAAATCCATTAGAATTCTACTACGAATCTAAATCTGTTTTAAGCACAATCAAATATGAAGTTATGAGATGTGTTCTATTGTAAGCAAGTTTCTAACAAATAGTTGCTAATGAATATCATTCACCTAGGAGGTACATATTGTGCAAATTCTTAAGAAATTATGAAGTAACAAAGCACATATTTTAATGTGTTTGAGCTCAACTTTTTTGACAGTGGAATCCTAGTGGGAGACAACTTATTACTGGATCTCATAGTGGCAAATTCACAATGTGGAATGGGCATTCCTTGAACTTTTAAACAATTCTGCAGGTACTTCGAATCTACACTGTTTTTTAACGTTGTTCAGAAAACAAGAAAAGATCGCCAGAAGTTGTTATGTTAAGCTTGTGAAGCAGTTAAATCTGTGTTATGGAGTTACAATGAGAATTGGATGGTCACTGGTGATTCCATGCTTTGCAAAATGATATTGAGTGCTTTATCAGTAGTTTGGTTGACCACTGATTTTACAGTTTTACCTCATTGCAGGTAATGGATAAATAATATGAACAATGTTCTAACAAATAAATCTGCTCAACAAAACTGATTTGTCTGTGTCTTGAGGTATGATGCCTTGGTAAACGCTTCGAAATAGCATTAATCCGCTACTTTTATGTATCTTGGAATGGATTTTGTTAGTTTTTTTGCTTCTTCAATGATCTCTTGTGAATGCCCTTGTATATTATTTCATGATCCATATTTCTTCTTGCCAAATTGACCGTTGTGTGGATTATATGCTTCAACATTCCTTCCCTGACCTATGTTTCTTTCCAAATGCCTTAACACAGTTCTTCCATATGTGAGTTTAGACAGTAAATACCTCATTCTTCAGTTGTGCTTTTATTTCTCTTCTTTTTTTATGTTTGGTACTATTTCCAGGACAGACTTGAAGTTGGGCTCCTGTTCTGATGATCCTACTGTTAAAGATTGGGACTTTCCTAGGTGTCATCATCTGGTAATGTTCTCCACTCTGCAGTTATGTTAAAAAAATCTGGTTTGGAGTTGCATAGTATAATTATTTGTCTTAGTTTAAGCTAGCTGCCTGAATAATTCCCACCATTGTTTTTTCAAAATTTCATTTCCCACCTTTAGATGTGAACAAACTCCAACGTAAGCATGATTGATAATATAGGTTGGAATATGTGGACAAGGACAAGAAAAGATTAATAATATATATTGTGGAGGTCAAAAGCTATTTTGTAATTGTAAGTGGTACTTATTATTTAATTCTCCACTTGGATTATTACATAAATCATATCCAATGAGTTGGTGGAAGACATTATTGTGATTGCCCATTTGACAAAGTCTAATATATATATATAGATAATGACAATGATAGTTAATCACATAAAATACGTTTATACACCATACTCTATAAATATGAATAATATTATGTTAATTGAAATTATATATTATTTGTCTATTTTTGTGTATTATTTTGTCATTTTAATTTATTTAAAATTAATATATTAGTTTCTTTTTTAGTATTTACACATAATTTTAAAAATATTTTGTCATTTTAATTTATTTAAAATTAATATATTAGTTTCTTTTCTAGTATTTACACATAATTTTAAAAAAATTCTTGCATTTTATTCATTCCGTGCATTGGGTAAGTATATATTTTGTTATTTTTTATTGTCTAAATATAAAATGTCATATTTATTGAACTTCATAAATCCCACAATATATTATAAATACCGTCATATTTATACTTATTTTTATCAACATTTTTACTTTGATTTTACACATCATAAGAATAAAATAGTCCTTACCTATTAAAATTATTATCAACTATAATTAAAATATAATTTTTATTAAACTTTATAAAAATATATATATATATTTACTTTTTAAGCAGATGAAAAAGAGTGTATATTATTCATATTATAACAATATCACAATATATAATACTATTAAAAGTTTCAAAGTACAATTGTCTATTTATCTATTTATTGTACTACTGATCTTATATTTGATATATTAAAAATTATATTATAGAAATACCGCATCAAAAATTAATATACTGACTAAAATATCAAAATAATATTTTCTTATCATGTAAAATAGATTTATTTGGTTTGAGGACCGATTTTAATACAGTGTATACTTTTGATCTTTTGTAATAATAAAAGTAGAAAAAATTGTATGATTTAAAAAATAAAATAGCTTATTCTTTATGATAGATAAATAAAGAAAAGTACGCTTATTTTTATTCCTTTTTTTTTTATTATTTTTTTTTTTTACAATAGAACCGATTTTATCGGTATTTACTAAAATACCTAAAATTTCAAACTGTATGTACTTAAACAATTCACAATTTAGTATGAAATCACACTGTATCAAAAATTTTGTTTGAGATTTTTGAAAATTTAAAAATTTAAAATAAAAAATAAAAAATTAGTATTTGATTTGATATTATGTAAAAAAAAAAAAAAGTATGTGTAATTTGATATTTTTTAAAAAATAAATAGTGATAAATTAGCGAAAGTACATTGTGGAAACATCGGTTTATTATTAATTTTTTTTCTAGCAACAATTCTATTTTGTAAGTGTTTGTTAGTAAGAGGCAGAGGTGTAGGATCAAAGCTAAATTACAACTCAAAAAGCATTTTGCCTATATCACTCACTCACTCACTCACTCTTTTTTACAAATTAAGGCCAAACCAAAACCCTCCTTTTTCTTTCCTTTTATTTTTTATTTTCTCTGTCTGTCTGTCTCCATCATGTGAAAAGATCTGAGCTTAAAAGTCATACATGGCGGAATCAAAGAAGAAAAAAGAAACATCTACTACTTCAAAATTTTGAATTTAGGGTTTTTGTGGGGTGGGGTGGGGTTGGTGGCCCGTGCCTGTGCCTGTGCTGTGCTGTAATTTCATTTCCTCCTTTAGAAGCTTTGGTGGAATTCTTACACTGACCCTCTCTTTCTCTTTCTCTTTCTCTCTCTATACATACATCTCTTGTCTTTTCTTGATAAAAAATATGACGTGATTGATCATTCTGCTCTAATTTGTGATTATCATAGAAACCCTAATAATAATTAATAGTATATAGTAATAATCATATCCCTAATTTTGTTTTGTAAGAAGCTCCCTAACCTCAGTAATCACTAACTGTGGACTGTGATGTGATTTCTTCTTTGGGCTTTAACTTTTCTCTCATCCACTTTTCCTTTGTTTCGGAATTATTGGGAACTGAAAAAGCCTACTCCAATGCATATTTCTTTCTTTATTAATAATTATTTGTGTTAATTTATCAAAGCCGGCGAAAAGAAACCTTATACACGTATTTTTGTTAGTTTTAAAATAATAGTTTTATTTTTATAAATAATTATATTACTGTAAAATTATTTATATTTTTTTATTATTATTACACAATTATTATTATTTTTTTATATTTTTTATTAACTATCAATATAATATTAATATTTTTTAAATATTGTATCCAAACAATAAGATTCTATTTTTTAGAATGAATGAAGTACTTTTTTTTTTTTTTTTCGTCCTTTATTTATATATTATTTTAGTATTATATTAGAATATAATATAAATAATTTTATCAATATTTGTGTGATATAAAGGCATAATATATTGTAAAATTATAGAAATATTTTTAATATTAATAAAAAATACCGATACTAAAACAAAAATAAATAGTTAATTATAGAATGATCAGAATAAAAAAAATGAATAAATTAAAATATATATATATTTTTTTTTGTCCACAAACCTCAGCAGGAAATGAATAAATAAATAAATAAAATCGAAAATTGCAGCTTCAGCACCTTCTCGGCTTGCTTGCTTGCTTTCTTTTCTGTATGTATTCAAAAGATTCTTTGACTCAACCACCAAATTCTGGGCTGATTTTTCGATCTGAAGAAAAATAGGAGATGTAACTTTGAACAATAATTATAACTTCTTCTTTCCTGTTGTCCGTCTGTCTGAAGATTTTTTTGATTAGGGAAGAAGAAGAAGAAGAGATGTCGGAAGCAGCCAAAATCCGCCTCGTCCGCTGCCCTAAGTGCCAGAATTTGTTGCCGGAAGTTACCGATTTCTCCGTTTATCAGTGCGGCGGCTGCGGTGCTGTTCTCAGAGGTCCATTATTTCCTATTTCCTCTTCTTCTTATCTGTTTTTCCCCCTTTTTGATTAGGTTTGTGGTCATATCTGCTTCCTTCATCCTTAATCTCTAACAAACTTGGATCTCTTCTTCTCTCTCTGCACTCGTTACTGTTTTTTGTGTACGGCTGTTGATTCGATTATTGTGCTTTCTTTCTGTGTTATTATTATTCTGTCTTCAGCTAAGAACAAAAACGTCAATTCTAGCGAGAGGTCTGAAGGAATTGTAGGAACCGCAGAGAAGCTCACTGATGGATACGACAAAATTGTGGATGTTTCAGACAGAAGAGCCTTGGACACGAGTGACGGCTCCGAGAGCGATGTCCGCTCCAGCGTTAGTTCCTTCAGCCGTACCGCCGGCGCCGGCGAGATTCGAGAAAACTCGATTACTAAGGAGACAGGGTTAGTTGTCGACGAACATTGTTCTGAAATTGATCGAGGTTTCAGAGAAAACGAGGATGTAAGGATAGGGAAGGAATGCCAAACAAATGGCTCATGGAGGAGGATGGAGAAGGAAGAACCTATCGGGCCGTCGTCTTCGTCGAATCCGTCGAGCTACAGCGACGAAACCGCAGCTCGAAACGGGACCAACAACATTGCCGTCGTCGAAGAATTCGACAATGTAGGTCGCGATCGAGCCGAGCTTCTAAAGAAGCTCGACGAGCTGAAAGATCAGCTGAGCCGATCGGGGAATTTGGGCGACAAAGGGAAAGAAAAGATCCCCCACGAGTCGAGAAGGATCGATCCTTATTGGCATCATCCTGACGATCGTCGCGCCTCGATGCAAAATCCCTATCCCGATTTTCCGTTCGCAAGGAATCAGTACGTCGAACCGCCGCCGTCGATGCATAGGCCGGAAATCGGGGCGCATTTTTATCCGTCGACGCGGCACGTTCCGGGATACGGCGATCCGTCGATGTCGCAGGTCCATAGAAGGCCTTCGGCAGCATACCAAATGTACCCGTCGAGGCCATATAGGTCGGGACCCTACCGGGACGACACGATGGCTTACGTGGAGCCATCGTATCCGCCGGATTTCGGCGGGCATCATCCGACTTGCTCGTGTTACCGATGCTTCCAGAAAATGCCGGCGATGCCATATGACGGGGTTTTCGGGTATCTCGACAATCCCGGGTCATTTGGATCCCGTACTTACGGTAACCATCGTCGTCCCGGGAGGATTCAAAATGCCCAGACAAGATGGCCGAGCGACGTCGACTCCGACATTGATGGTTTCTTGCCACGACGCCGTCCTCCTCCTCGAGTGCATTTTCTCGCCGGCGGGAAGCACCGCCGCCCTGTCGCCGGCGGCGTACCGATCTTGACTTGCAACAATTGTTTTGAGCTGCTGCTGCTGCCAAAGAGAGTTCTGGTGAAGGACGACGGTAGGAAGAGAATGAGATGCGGCGCGTGCTCGTCGCTGATCATATTCACGGTCTCGGACAGGAGTTTAGTCGTCTCGTACGAGGTTGAGGCGGAGGACAATAATCCCAACGAAGTCGAGGATATACTAGCGAAGCACCCGAGCCAAGTTCGGACAACCTTCTCGTCCGAGGATTACGATAACTACGGGTACGATTTCTGCGCCACGGTTAGAGAATCCGAACAGCCGGTGACCCGGCAGGGAAGCAACCGCCGTTCGACGTCGACGTATGCTTCCGAGGCGGACGAAGATTCGGGATCAGCTGACCTGTCGACGAAGAACAAGCGATGTTCGCCTCCTCTAGGCTCGTCTCTTCAGGATCACTTTGAGCATTCGAACAATAATCATGCAACGTATCAATCGAAGGAAGGGAATGGGAACAGAAGCGGACGATCCGAGCATGAAAAGCAATTACCGAGCAAGGCGACGAGTCGACAGATATCGGCGGCGACGGAGATCGATTTGTCGTCAAACGAGTTTGGCAACACCGGGGCCACGTTCGATTCCGGGGAAGGAAGCCGGGAAGGTGATCAGCTGAAGGGTAGCAGAGGAGCCGAGTCATTCTTCGCCGGCATTATAAAGAAGAGCTTTAAAGACAAATGGAACGACGAGAAAGCTAGCGTCACAGTGAATGGCCATCTGATTACCAACCGGACGATCAAGAAGGCGGAGAAAGTCGCCGGACCGATCCACCCGGGGCATTACTGGTAAAGCTTGCACCCTCTTCATCGCCCAATTTCCCGATTTCACGATATGATAATATCCGATCTTGAAACAGGTACGACTTTCGCGCCGGATTCTGGGGAGTTATGGGAGGCCCTTGTCTCGGCATAATCCCTGTAAGCGTCGTCGAGCTCTCAACTGTCGATTTGTTGATCATCGCTGTCTTTTCCCATTGTCGTTTTCTTTACCGCAGCCATTTATCGAGGAATTGAACTACCCGATGCCAGATGGTTGCGCAGGCGGGAACACGGGCGTGTTCGTGAACGGGAGAGAGCTGAACCAGAAAGATCTGACATTGCTGGGAAGCAGAGGGCTCCCGACGGAGAGGGACCGTTCTTTCATCATCGAGATTTCCGGACGAGTGCTGGACGAGGACACTGGCGAGGAGCTCGATGGTCTCGGGAAGCTTGCGCCGACGTAAGTACCTAACACAACCTGGGACATTATATTTCTACCTGTCTCTGGCTTTGTTGTCTTGAATCTGACCTGCGTTGCTGATGTCACAGTGTGGAGAGAATGAAGCGCGGATTCGGCATGAGAGCCCCGAAAGCTGCAGCTGCCTAAATTGGACTTTGCAACGACCTCGGGTTGTCGCCGAGGAAGCTGAAGTAAGAAGAGGGCTGTCTGTAAGAAATACTGATTTAGTACAACCTTACTACTGAGGCGTTAGAAACTGAATACCTTTCGATCATGGATTGAGAACAAATTTGTATATTTGAGCATTATCAACAACAGAAAATCAGATTTCGAAACACAGACATTGAAGGCCATTAAAGAAAGATCATTTCTTGGTGTCCCTGCAAACTTTCTCATTTTTAACATAACATGGAAACAATAATTTCAAAGCAATAATTTCACCAATTTCAGATATAAATGAATCCTATGTTAAATAACTGATCAAGAACAAGTTGGTTTATGAGAGGCAGAATCACAGAATTGGATGAACAATGCAAATTATTATATAACATTGGGAAGAATTATCATAGTGAAAAAAAACCTCGAAACAAGCCTTAATCTCCTGCTACAAACTAAGCCAGGAAATATTATATGAATAGAGAATTGTTCGGCTGCACAAAAGAGCAACGAGTCATTTCAATGTCGATTATAACATGGAACGGTATGTTTATTAAACGATGGAGACCACCCCACAAAAGAAAAACCTCATTCGAGCTTTCTAAGAAGATGATGTGGTTGAAGATGAGCCTGAGTCCTTCGGTAGATTTCTTTTCTTCCATAGCAATTCCTGCATCATCGAGAAACTGTAACTGGTACTACCTCCTTGCGGATTACAAAAAGTATTCGATCACCATTGTTAAGGAAGTTACTAGAAGGACAAGAAAAACTCAAGCATTATATGTACATAAAGCTCAGAATTCAGCACAATCAGATGGTAATTGATAGCATGGGATTAGAATAGCAATCCAGAACAAAATGAGAAGTTTTTCACTAGATTTGTCACTAGTTTAAGCTTGGCCTTCAACCAAAACTTATGCAATCTTCATCGAGATTATATTCCGAAATTCCAAATAACTAGACAAATTCATCAACACTAGCAAACAACAAAAACAAAGATCAATGATAATAATTATGAGCAAATTCCAGAAGTTTTCCACTTGATTTGTTACTAGTTTAAGCTTGGCCTTCAACCAACACCTATGAAATCTTCATCGAGATTATATTCCAAAATTCCAAATAAGTAGACAAATTCTTCCACACTAACAAACAACAAAAACAAAGATCAATGATAATTGATGAGCAGGTTCTTGATGACCATTTTCCACATGCGATTAATTGTGCATCCCTAATCTGGAAATGAAAGTTCAATGAGGAAAAAGATGACCACACATCGGATTAAATCTCCTGCATCTCCTTGGCACGCTTAATAATGGAAAACGCTAGTCCTTGTTTTAAAATTAGGGTTAATTGTAACATATTCAATAATTTCATCGAGAAGTTGAAATCGTATACACGATATGATCGCCAATTCCAAATCGGTAAGCGAGAAATACAAAAAAAAAAAAAAAAAAAAAAAAAAAAAAAAAAAAACCACCGCACATCTATTATTTTCTTGAGATCCGATAGAGATTCATATACACCAACACAAGAAGAAATTTGTCAAACGCTCTACGCCATCACACGATTTTGATTTCGAATACTTCTAAAAAGAATAAGCAATATTCATAAAACATAATAATTTTAAACAAATTAGAAAACAAAAAATAGAGCAGCGATTATCAATTGAGCGAAAAACTAGAAAAATAGGATATAAAAACTCACGTTGTCAAAGAAGATAAGCTGAGCAGCAGTCACTGTCCCGCAGATTCCGGCCAGAATAGTGACCGGTCCGGTCAGCAAACTCCATTTCCGGTAAATCATTCTCTTTAATCAATCTGCAATTTCGTTTTTGCTTCTGGAATTGTGTCGATTCTCTGGCCTTTCCCAATCATATAAATATATACCCACAGAGAAGACAATTAGGGGAAGGCAATGGGCCGGTTTCACCGGACCTCAACCCGCCCCGGTAAGAAAAATTAAACCCGACCCGTTCCAAACCTCCAAATCTGGATTGGATTCGACCCAACTGACCCACCATTAGATATGCCTAGGCCCATTGGGTTTCAAACCGGACGATTCGACCCGCCGGTTCTGGTTTTTCAGCAGGGGTGATCAAGAAAGAAAGGAAGAACCCAGTAAATAAGAAGCCTGTACAATAATCAAGGTAAATCCTAAAATATTGTTATTTTTTTATAAAAATATTATATTTATAATTAAATTTATTATATATTATTATATTTTTATGAAATAATGATAAATATTATTAACATTATATAATATTATTTTTGTATATTTATATTTTTAAAATTTTATAAAATAGTATCTTTTTTTATATAATAATACTTCATGTAAATTATATTATTACATAATATATAATTTTTAAAAAATTATATTTTAATTCAATATATAATATAAATATTTATTAAATTCATTATGTTTTTTTTTTTTAATCTACCACAATAATCAATCTTTATTACATAATTATTATAAAAAAAAAAATCCATCCAACACATTCAACAAAACTTCCTTTTGACTCCAAAATTTTTGGGATTCATTATTGAAATTTTACTATTTAGAGTTCATAGGTTTTTTTTTTTTTAAAATGTAATTTTTGCTTTTTTATAAAAATTACATTAAATTTTATTAAGATATAAAATATATTATATTTTGTCTATTGTCGAAACATTTATGTATGCAAATATATATTATTTTGTTTATTAAGTTATCAAATGATAAGGAATATGACGAGAGATACCATGACGGCTAAATACCGGACCTCAATATGTACCGATAATCTTTATGTTCTACTCAATAATCCAAGAAGAAATACAAACGTGCTCATGGTTCTAACTTATTGCGTTTGCGATGTTAAAAAGGGACAAAATATATACAACCAAATAGATGAAGAAAATAATCAGGGGACTGATCGAAAAGTTTTTTTAAATAAGTGATGCCATAAAGGGCCGAGAAAATTAACTTATTGATGGTGTAGACAAAAACACAAGCAGCTTCACCCTAGAAACAATCAAGACACGAGGAGGATAGAAAAAAACACATTGACTATATCGAGGATATGATGATGCTTACGCTCTGTACAATTATTTTGTTAGGATGTGTATAGACAAGACCGCTAAAGAAAAATACCCTGAGAAGAAAGGAAGCCGAGACACAAAATCATTATACTCTAGGGCATTATCAGTACGTAATATTTGAATATTATAAAAAAATTGAGTATGCATCATTTTGGCAAAAGTGATATAAATTCATGCAAGCTCATAATATTGTTTCATAAAGTAAAATCCATATAATATGGAAAAAAAAAAATCATTAATAAAAATCACAAAATATGTATACTCGTTAATAAATTCTACAGGTGAAGGCCATCAAATATCTTAATATACAAAGAGAAAGGTTTATAGAGAGATTGTGAGAAAGAATAAAAATATATTCAAGAGAATTCAAATCCATAGAACCTAAGACGCATTTAGTGGCGAGAGATCGGAGTTTAATTGTAAACATGTGTTCTAACCGATGATGTCACCGAGGGCGGATTCAAGTAGAAGGCAGTGATAGCACGTACCACCGTTGATTTTATCACACCAAAAGAAATTTTTTATATTTAAATAATTGTGCCACCACTAAAAAGTTTGAGTGCCCCCACTCAAAATTTGAATGTCATTGTTATTCAAAAATATTTTAGTGGATTATTTAAATTTTAAACTATCATGAATATCCAAATAATTAAAATTCAATCCAATGAAAATAATTAATTTATATTTTAAATATATATAATAGTATTATAATATTATTTTCTATATCATTAATAATAATAATTTATTTTTATAAATATTAATATTGTTATTTTAATATATCTATTGTGCCACCACTATAAAAATTTTCCCGTCTATGGATGTCACTAATAACCAGGAGAAGAAGAGGATGCAGAAACTATAATTGAAAGGAACAAATGATAGAGAATCTAAAGGTAGTTGAACTTATATAATCTCGTCTTACGTCCGTCCCAGGAAGCTAGCCTTTCTGTGAATCATGAATCAGTACACCAGAAGATAAAATTACAATACTAAATTTTTATTCAACTAACTGACCAATCAAAATAAATTTAAGTTTAATTTAAAGATACAATAAATATCAGTAAGAAATAAAGATGTGGTTCAAATATAACTAATGTGAGTTATGTGCATATGTCAGTTATTGACAATGTGTGTGAGAGGTAAAGTCATAGTGGAAATGAAAGAACACATAAGTTTGATACTATAAATCATATGATTAAACACGTAAAATTATAATACCAATGCATGTTGCCGATTAAAAAAAAAAAAAAAACCAACGGATGTTACTTACAGATATATGAGGATCAAAATTGGTAGAAAGAATCTCATTAATTAGCTTTTGAATGTCTTGGAAAGTATAATGCAAAGCCATAACATACTACGAAACGATTTGTGGCGACAACTACGGTAAAAGAAACACTAACTTGACAAAAACAACGAGTGCAACACGGACACTTTTAAATGACATGTACTCAAAAATAGCAATAATGACACTCAATTTTGGGGCACTAGGTGTGACATCAGACAATTTTCCGTCGCCGCTTTCAAGCATCATGCGCTGCTATTATTGCTCTCGTGACTATTTTCTTATCCCGCCACGGATTTGTCCTCTTAAATCTGTATCACGTCTTGATCGTGATCATCGCTTCACCCTTATACTTATTTGCATTCTTTTATTTCTAGGAAAAATTATTTGTACTTCACTCGTCACTTCAAGCGTATGTATTATATTTATTTATAACTTCAAATTATTTGAGATTTTTTTATATCTTAAAAAAATTTATACAATTTATTTTTTCATTTTGGATAAATTGTTTGCATTACTGTAGATTTGAAAATTAAGGTAAAGCATAATAAACAAGTAATTAAAAAATATATTAATAAAAATAATTACAAATTTAAATTTAAATAATTAAATAAATTAAAATGTTTTCCCAACCACAGGCGTTCCCTCTATGAACAAATAAACATTTTATGTGTGGCTAAAAAAAATATTGTAAGAAATTGTGTACCGTATTGTTAAAGTACGAAAGATTCTCGTATAATTTTTAAAAAATGATGTACAATATTTAAAAATAAATAAATCAGGATAATAATGCAGTCTTTCAAATTAAAGAGCGATTTTTTTTCAAAAAGTTTTGCCTTATTTATATTATAAATTATTAAAATAATTGAAGAATTAATTCGTGAACGTAACCATGTCTTTTTTATTATTTTAAAAGTGACAGCACATAAATTGTCGAGATACATGATTTTGGTCCCATGAAAAACCATATTAATTAACCTCACTATTATTTATTAATGTAGAAAAAAGGGACCTCATGAGATCCACCAATAAATACCACCCAGCTTCCCCTCACGCCACCAAATCCTCGATTTCAAAAATAAATAAAAAAATAAAAAAGTTTCTTTTTTAAAAAAATCCTCTGTATATATATATATATATGTTGTATTTTAATTTATTACTTCGTCATGTTTTTAAAAATAAAATAAAATAAATTTATTTTAAATCTTAATTTTTATTAATTTCGTTCATTATGCTTATACTCCTTCCTCCTGTTAATAAATATATATATTTATAATTATTTTTTGTTTATAATTCTAAAAAATTATACACCTTACATCCCAAAACAAAGGACATTTGGAATGAGTATGAAAATTAAAAAATAATATTATTATATTAATATTAAGTGTAAAAGTGTTTTTAAAAAATTAAAAAACATATATAATTTATATTAATAAAATATAATATAATACAAAAAGATAATATATATGACAAAATAATTTATAGAATTCTCGGCATCATCTCTCTCGTACTCACACCTATATATAGATATACAGGGTGGAACTATACTAGGGTTTGGGGTTAATTGATCCTCTAAATCCAATTTTTTATAATTTTTTTAGTGTTAAAAATATTAGTTTTTATGTATTTATATACAATTTGCCTCTAAAATTATTTAAATTCATATATAATTCTATCATTATTTTTATTTAAATTTATTAATTAAAAATTAAATAAATTATATAACATTTTGACCCAAAATTTAGATGCTAGTTTTGAGTGTGTAATAGTGTAGATACACAACCATGTAGTGTGAGATAGTGCTGAGAATGGGACAGGAAAGGTGATACAGAAAATCCCCTTCGATTTAAACTGTACACATTATCATTTCAGAGCATAGTAATTGAAATATTTTAGATATTTGATTTTAAATTTAGTAAATTTGTATTTAAATTTCGTTTTATCTATATATTATATTACTTATATTTTAGTCTATTGAGTCGTTTTTTATTGTCTATATATATAGCCTTTTATTTTGATGATTAATAAAATAATTTTCTTCAAAATTTCTAACACAAAAGTTGTCTGCTTTAAAATAAAAAAATAAAAAAAAAAACAAAAAAAAAACAAACAAACAAACAAACGTCTAATTAGAACTAGTTGGTGGTAAATCAACACCTAACTATCTACTACATACATATATATTTCGCTATATATAAGCCCAATAACCTCACTCAAATAATTCTAGCTGCATTTATTATATATATATATATATATATATATCATCAATGGAAATCTCAGCCGCCGGTCACATCGCCGTACTTTCGTCGCCGGGGATGGGCCACCTGATCCCCCTCGTAGAATTCTCCAAGCGCCTCCTCCACCGCCACCGCATCGCCACCACATTCATCATCCCCACCGACGGCCCTCTCTCCAGCGCCGAAACCACCTTCCTCTCCGCCCTACCACTCTCCATCGCCGCCGTCCTCCTCCCCGCCGTCGACCTCCACGATCTCCCCGCCGACGTCAAAATCGAGACGCGCATTTCACTCACGATGATCCGCTCCCTGCCTTCGATTCGAAACGCCATCAAGTCCCTCCACCACCGGCGACGCCTCTCCGCCTTCGTCGCCGATCTTTTCGGGACCGACGCGTTCGCAGTCGCCGCTGAATTCGGTATTCCCCGATACATCTTTTTCGCCTCCACCGCCATGGCCCTGTTGCTGTTCCTTCTCACGCCGGAGCTCGAAAAAACCGTTTCCGGCGAGTTCTGGGAGGCGCCGGAGAAATTCCGGCTACCGGGATGCGTCCCGGTGCACGGCAGGGACTTGGTGGACCCCCTCCAGGATCGCAAAAACGATGCCTACAAATGGTTCGTTCACCTCACCAAAAATTACAGATTACCAGAAGGAATCATCCTCAACACCTTCAAAGAAATGGAACCCGGCGCCATTGAAGCTCTGCAGAAGAAGGAAATTGGAAACCCTACTATTTACCCAGTGGGTCCGCTGATTCGAACCGGGTCGAATCCGAATCCGGATTCGGAAACCCGCCAGTGTCTAAAATGGTTGGATCGTCAACCGAGCGGGTCAGTTCTGTACGTATCGTTCGGGAGCGGAGGAACGCTGTCGCACGATCAAACAATCGAACTTGCCGTCGGACTGGAAATGAGCGAGCAGAGGTTTCTATGGGTAATTAAATGCCCAGACAGCAAGCCGTCGTATTTCAACGTCAAAAACTCCGACGATCCGCTGGCGTATCTGCCTGAGGGCTTTCTGGACCGGACGGCCGGCAGGGGCCTGGTGGTGCCGGGGTGGGTCCCGCAGGAGGAGATTCTGGCGCGTGAATCGACGGGGGGGTTTCTGACGCACTGCGGGTGGAATTCGACGCTTGAGAGCGTCGTCAATGGCGTCCCGATGATCGCGTGGCCGCTCTACGCGGAGCAGAGGATGAACGCGGTGATGCTGCAGGAGGATCGGCGGGTGGCACTGAGGTCGCCGGAGAAGAAATTGGGGGAGAATCGGAATTTCGTCGTCGGGAGGTTGGAGATTGCGGAGGTTGTGAAGGAATTGATGGTGGAAGGGAAGGAGATTCGAGATCGAATTAGGAAATTGCAGGTTGCAGGTGCAGAAGCAATTGGGGAAAATGGGGAGTCTGCAAAAACCCTAGAAGCATTGGCCGAAATGTGGAAGAAGACGAAGACGACGACAACGAAAGAGTAGGGACTACGCAACACAGGAGAGTCCCGGGAGCACAGCACCTGCATCCATCCACACCGTTGATGCCACATGGATGGTCTGGATTCGCCAAGAAGTAATTGGTATCTATTCTACCATGCATGCATATTTAAATTAGATTTTGCATTGCTTAATTATTTATTGTGATGTAATCTGCATATCTTATATGTCTGTGTGTATATATATATATATATATCTTCAATTAGGTAGGAAGTAAAAGATCGATATGGCCAATTCTTACCTACACTTGCAGATTAATTACTTAATTTATTAAGATTTGTGATCTTTGATTTTAGTTGCTCATTATAATGATTGCCTGATATGATATCACCACAATTTTTTATACAGAGATGCATATAGCAAGTTATTGACTATGTCTAAAGTTATCCCACATATTTTGGATGTCTTTCTTGTCAAATTTTTTGAAATTTTACTATTTAAATTTTGTCATTTTTTCTTTTAAAAAAATAATTTTTTTTTTTCTTTCTTATAAGATATCCAAAATTTCTTTGTGACAACATTGTCAATATTATGAACAAAATTTCTTTGTGACAACATTGTCAATATTATGAACAATATTTTTCATTTCTATTGACAATATTAATGCGATGTAAGTAAAGCCCAAAAAATATCAATAATTGATCTTTCGTATCTATTATTTGTATAGTTTTTTGAATTATTATTATTGACAATATTCATACGGTGTAAGTAAAGTACATAAGATTTTTAATCGTCATCATTGTTTGTAGCACAATATTTCAGATACTGAAATGTAATGAATTAATGATAATGACATATGATCTTAGTTTATTCATTTTTATTTTTTTTTAATTTGAGCAGTAACGTCGATATTTTAGAATAAAAATTAATATATACTCTCTCTATCCATTAAAATTAGTTTATTTAAATTGAAAAGATAAAAAAAAAATGAATATTTTATACATAAAAAAAAAAGTGATAAAAGTAAAAAGATATTTGAAAATATTTTTGAAAATTTAGTTAAAAATTAAAAGCATTGATATTTGTTGTAAATAAATAGTGAACTAGGGATAGTAATTACATATTGATTTGTTAATTTTGTCAAAATTAGTAATTGAATATATTCAACGAACGGATTAAAAAGATAAATAAATAAATTTGACGAACCGAGGGAGTATATATAATTAAAAGAAAATTAGAATATGCATTTTAAATATTTCAAATCTTATATTTTAGTAAAATATATATAATATGGATGTCATTCTATAGGAAATAACATTTTATAAGTACAATACAATTAAATAGAAAATATTTTTAATTATTTATAATTAATGTAAACTATATTATAAAAATCATTGAAAATTTTAAATATAAATATAAATATTTATTTATTAAAAAAAATTGAATGAATTTTAATTATAAGAGCACGCCCCAATGGTGATGGTATAGAAGGCCTCATTGCCAATTCAGATTTTTCTCCTTTTTTTTTTTTATCAAAAATAAAATGTACAATGGCTTGTTTAGAGCAGACACAATGGCTTAAAAGTACAAGACTTTTGAACCCATGACCCACGGTCACACATCCAAACTCCACGCTATCGGCTCATCCTTACGAGACTAAGAATTTATGATTTTAATTAAGTTGATTGAAGAGGGAGATATAAATAAAAAAATATTAGGCAAAATAGCAAAAAACTCCCATTTGGTTTCCCGAAATAGCTGAAAACCCTCCGTAGTTTTAAAACTCCAAAAAACCTACTTGTGGTTTCTAAAATGTTGCAAAAAATCCCTTGTCCGTTTGGATTTAACGGAGGTTATATATCACGCGCCTGGAATGCGATTTTTGGTCCATAGAGTGATATATTTCTATATAAAATTACTAAAATACCCTAATGACTACTTTTTACAATCACTTCTTCTTCCTCGTTTTCTTCTTCCTCATTCTTCTTCTTTCTTATTCTTCTGCACACTTCTAGAATTTTATCTCAATTCATTTTTTTTTCATTTTAAATCCCCTAAACACATCGTAAATTTTAAACCAATCCCAAATTTATCATAATTAATTGACCGAACATGGAGATGGAGATGTGAATGCGTGTTGTACCAAATCTAGAAATACTTCTTCTGTTTTTACCAAACCCAAAAATCTGAAAATTCAATTTGACATCAAAATTTGAAATCAATCTAAGAAGAAAGAAAGAATTTGTTGTTGGTTGCAACCGTGTACGAAAGAATTGGGGAGAAAAAATAAAGAAGAAAGAAAATTGGAAAAAAAAAGATAGAGAAAAAAAATAAAATTGGAGAAAAAAAAATCTCATATCCAGCCCCTTCTTTCCCGTCTCTTCTTTATTCTCTTTCTTTCTTTTTTTCTTCCTTCTTCCTGCTCTAGCCGCTTCTGCCCGTCATTTTCTTTCTCTTCTTATTCTTTTCCAATTCTTCACTCTTCAAAGAAGAATCGGTGATAAAGAATAAGAAAAAAAAATTGGAGAAAAAAAAAAAGAAAAAAGCGGTGGAACTGCTATGGCTTAGAAAAAGAATTGGAAAAGAAGAAAGAGAAAATTTGAAGAAAAAGAAGAAAAAAAAGAAGCGGATGGAACTACTATGTCCTGAAAAAGAATTGGAGAAGAAGAAGAGAAAAAATAAGGAAAAAGATTGTGAAGAAGAATTGGGGGAAGAAAAGAAGATGGAAGAAAGAAGTTGCAGAGAAGAGAATGAGAAGAAGAAAGAATAGAAGAAGAAAGAACATAAGAAAGAATGGAAAATGCTCAGGGGCATAACGGTCTGATAAGGCTAAAATTTAACGGCCTCAGTGTGATTTAAAAGAGGGGGCGAGTGTGCAACGTTTTACAAACCAGGAGTAGGTTTTTTGAAATTTTAGTACTAAGGGGAGGTTTCAGCAGATTCGGTAACTACAGAGGTTTTTCGCTGTTTTGCCAAAATATTATAATAATCTTGTAAGTAAGGTGTTAAAAAATAAATTTTAAGTTGATTTATATTAATTAAATATTATTTAATATTGATAAAATTTACTAAAAATATAAATTTATTGAACAGATAAAAATAAATAAAAATGCCTATTTAAATAGCACGAAAAAAATTTCTCTCCTTTTCATTATTATGTTTTTTATACATAATTATCTAGAAAAATGTGTGCTTTTTATTTATAGCAAATAAATTGATAACTTTTCAATACTATATTTATTTTCAAAAAGATCACTACTATTTAAGGAGAACCAACAACCATGTGGATATATATAAATTTTTTTTTTGGACGATGTAGGAACCCGCAGTTGCTATCCAAAAGCGTGCATTGAGTAAACTCCGACTGAACCTAATACCCTGCAAATTAGACCCGACGAGAACAATCATGGATATATTAATTAATAGATTGGTGATGATGCTTATTGTTTTAATTAATATGGTGTTGATTTGGGTAATCAACCTCACGTTAATGAAACTTAATTAGAATATAGTAATACTACTAATATATATATATATATATCATAGAAAATTTTATTTTATTTAATTAAATAGAAAATTTAGATGAAAAATATAATAAATGAAATTTACTTAATCAATTGATTAACAAGAAATGATGGATAGGATAAGAGGGCATTTTAAGTGATTAAGAATTTATGAAAATACATTGTTGGTATTATTTTATTTTTTAATAATACTGTGGTTCGATGCGGGTGTTGTGCTCCCGGGACTGGGATCACTAACACACTACTCTTGCGTCGTCGTCGTCTTCTTCTTCCACATTTCGGCCAATGCTTCTAGGGTTTTTGCAGATTCTCCATTTTCCCCAATTGCTTCTGCACCTGCAACCTGCAATTCCCTAATTCGACCTCGAATCTCCTCCCCTTCCACCATCAATTCCTTCACAACCTCCGCAATCTCCAACCTCCCCACCACCAAATTCCGATTCTCCCCCAATTTCTTCTCCGGCAACCTCAGCGCCACCCGCAGATCCTCCTGCAGCATCACCGCGTTCATCCGCTGCTCCGCGTAGAGAGGCCACGCGATCATCGGGACGCCATTGACGACGCTCTCAAGCGTCGAATTCCACCCGCAGTGCGTCAGAAACCCCCCTGTCGATTCACGCGCCAAAATCTCCTCCTGCGGGACCCACCCCGGCACCACCAGGCCCCGGCCGGCCGTCCGGTCCAGAAAGCCTCAGGCAGATACGCCAGCGGATCGTCGGAGTTTTTGACGTTGAAATACGACAGCTTGCTGTGTGGGCATTTAATTACCCATAAAAACCTCTGCTCGCTCATTTCCAGTCCGACGGCGAGCTCGATTGTTTGATCGTGCGACAGCGTTCCTCCGCTCCCGAACGATACGTACAGAACTGACCCGCCCGGTTGACGATCCAACCATTTTAGACACGGGTGGGTTTCCGAATCCGGATTCGGATTCGGATTCGACCCGGTTCGAATCAGCGGACCCACTGGGTAAATAGTAGGGTTTCCAATTTCCTTCTTCTGCAGAGCTTCAACGGCGCCGGGCTCGATTTCTTTGAAGGTGTTGAGGATGATTCCTTCTGGTAATCTGAAATTTTTGGTGAGGTGAAGGAACCATTTGTAGGCATCGTTTTTGCGATCCTGGAGAGGTCCCGCGAAGTCCATGCCGTGCAACGGGACGCATCCCGGTAGCCGGAATTTTTCCGGCGCCTCCCAGAACTCGCCGGAAACGGTTTTGTCGAGCTCCGGCGTGAGAAGGAACAGCAACAGGACCATGGCGGTGGAGGGGAAGAACATGTATCGGGGAATACCGAATTCAGCGGCGGCTTCTAACGCGTAGGCCGCGAAAAGATCGACGACGAAGGCGGAGAGGCGTCGCCGGTGGTGGAGGGACTTGACGGCGTCTCGAATCGACGGCAGGGATCGGATCATCGTCAGCGCGACACGTGTCTCGAACCTGGCGTCGGCGGGGAGATCGTGGAGGTCGACGGCGAGGAGGAAGACGGCGTCGATGGAGGGTGGTAGGGCGGAGAGGAAGGTGGTTTCGGCGTGGGAGAGAGGTCCGTCGGTGGGGATGATGAATGTGGTGGCGATGCGGTGGCGGTGGAGGAGGCGCTTGGAGAATTCTACGAGGGGGATCAGGTGGCCCATCCCCGGCGACGAAAGTACGGCGATGTGACCGGCGGCGGAGACTTCCATTGACGATACATATGTATATATGTATAAAGTTCAAATTTTGAATTGACAATTTATAGGTTGGTTTGTTTACCAATGTAGTTTGAATTCAGACAGCAACAGTGTTACTACATGCAGTATATTATATATTTATATAATATAAATATAACAAATAAACTAACAACACATATTATAGATTTATATAGTATAAAAAATAGTTAATTTTAGCATATTAT